CCGCTTCCGAACCAAAGGTAATCGAGGGACGACGAGAGCGCACGCTTTCCCGCGCGAGCCTGCGCGCTCGTCCATCGTCCCACTCTCTCTCCGCTTTCCGCTCTCACGCCCCTTCGCGCGCGTTCGCTTCCCGCTTATCTTTTCTCTCTCTCTCTCTCTCTTTCTCTTTCGCCCTCCAATCATTTTACGTGTATACGTCCTTTCTTTCTTTCTTCTTCTTCTTCTTCTTCTTCTTCTTCTTTTTCTTGTTCCTTGTATGCGATCTTTCGAGACGAATCTCGGAGGGGTGGAAGGGGGAGAGGCGGCGAACGAGCGACTATCGTTGCGATTTCGATCCTCGATGACGATCGGAGATGATTTCGGTCGGGGAACGGAAACGACTGGGGGGTACGCGAACGGTACGTGAAATCAATACTCTGCGGTCTCCACCCCCGGGAGTGAACGAATATACGTATAGGGAGAGAGAGAGAAAGAGAGAGAGAGAGAGAGACAAACGCGAGTACAGCTACGAAACAACGCGATCGGTTCGTTGCTTTTCCCGATTCTCGTCCACGTCGTCTCGTTTTTCCCTTCTCCGATCGTTCGATCGATCGATCGATCAAACTTGCGTCACTCTCGAATTGACCCGATTTCTTTCGTTTTCGGGGGCGAAGCTTATTATTAATCGTCGTCGAACGTTTCATCGAATCGTGTATTATTACGCTTGATTTAAAATCGGGAGAAAGCTTCATAGTGTGAATCGTATTTACGATATCGATGTTTTGGGATGTTTCCGATCCGCTACTCCATCAGCGAAACGTCGTTCGTTCGACGAGAACGTTTCGGGATGGGTGTTGAACGTACGAATGAGAAAGACTGTTTCGCCTTGTTTCTCTCACGATTGTCATCGAAAATAACCGGGTATCAAGACGACAAATCTAGTTATAATAAGTAGCGAAACGATACGAAGATTTCACTTTAGATCCAAAGTTTATCTGTTTCCACCAGCTTGAATCGAAATCATTTGTGTAAAGCGAATTAAACCTGACTCTTGGAAGAAACGATCAACGATCAATTCGACAACATATATGCGCGGCTGTATCGTTCGACGATAAGAAGAAGAAGAAGAAGGAGTTGCGAAGAGAGTTGGAAGAAAGGAAAAGAAAAGAAAAGAAAAGAAAACGAAACGAAAAAAAGAAGAGTAATACGCGTTAATCGAGGCTTGGAGTGGTTTAACTACGATTATATTATCGAAGAGACGGAGAGACGAGCGATGATTGTATGATGAGACGGAAAGCGGGAGAAGAGAGAGTGAGAGAGAGAGAGAGAGAGAGAGAGAGAGAGAGAGAGAGAGAGAGAG